CTAGAGACGCCCGCTCAGATCGTGAGAGCTCCTGGCCGGCCGTTTTTTTACTACGGCCGGCCTGGAGGTATTTAATGGAATTTTTTCGACCTTAGTAAGTAACTAATTAGTGGCGATAGTGCTTTATGAGATGCTTCCCCCAGTATCACCCCCATAGTATGTATGAGGATCCCACGACAATGGACACTAAACTATACAATGTTAACCTATCTAATAGTAATCAGTGCTAATAAGCAAATCCATAATCAACAGCAGCACAATGAGCAGGTCGTGCCTGGACTTTCCCCTCCTGTAGGTATGTAACTGCCATGAAGAAAATCAGGTCGATGATACCAAACCTAATTCTTTGCCGTCTGGAGACGGCAACCCGCAGATGCTGCAGTGCCGTCCGTCCGTTTTTTTACTACGGGCGGACGGCAAGAGGTTAAAGGAGAACTAAGGGGCAACCTGTTTTGCCCATAGTGCTCTTCAGGGTCATGGAAGGACATATAATGTGTCCTCCAGTGACCCAAAACTCAGTACATAGTGGGCTATTGCCCGCTATATGCTGAGAGCGCCGCAGCCAGGATGGATCATGATGATGCTGTCGAGATCCACCCTATTGGCTGATTGACAGCTGGCTAAGCCTCTCTAGAGTCAGATCCAGCTGTGACTGCCCCCTACCCCGTCCGTTCCTCCAGTCAGTGCTGGAGGATCAGAGAGGGGAGCTGGGAAATCCCTGTGGGGATGGTGAGTGACAGTCACCAATCTTTGCAGGGAGAGGATCGGGAGTCAGCAACGGCAGTGTGTTTTCGCTGACTTGCCGATCAAAAGAGCTGACCTGTAAGAGCTTCAGTGTCACATGTCGGTTTGAATTATGGGGATGAGTGTTTTTTTACTCAACCCATAATTCTCCTCTTACTAGTTTTATATGAAACAGGATAAACAGGATATCAGGGCCAGTGCTCAGGGGACCAGTTGATTCTGCAGGAAACTATCAGGTCTATTCACAAAAGGGTGTAGAGTTTGGAGAAGGCAGGAGAAGTGAACAATCTAGGACAACATAGCTGATTTGGAAAAATTCTCTAATTCAGCTATGTTGTCTTAGATTGTTCACTTCTCCTGCCTTTTGCAAACTCTTCACCCTTTTTTGAATAACCCTGTAAAACTTTTAAACATCAAGGAGCAGCGTCCATTGTAAGTGATAAAATCAGCATCTGAAATAGCTAAAAAACATTATCACTTTAGGTGGCCTTTATCCACTTTATTTAAAAGCCACTATGGTGTTGCAGTCATATTGCAACAAAAATAACTAGCGCCAACTTAAAAAAAAAAGAATATTCTTCAAAACTTTAAGAGCAAGCAGGTAAACACCACATGACCTCAGAAACCTTCGGTCAGTCTAAAATGATCAAATCCATATTTACAAATTTGCAATAAACTGTTTTACTCCACACAACTTTATAGCATCTGATCCACCTTCCCTGACAAGGTCACTCTGTGGTTAACTGTATTTTCACATGATCAGCCTTGCCAGATAAAAACAAATTACCTTATTGATGGTAAAATAACGATATTTGCCGATATAAAATAACGGCAAAGATGTAGGTTCTGCTAGTCTAATGGGACAGAATGTTAAATATATTCTCTGCGGTTCTAGCTGAACTCAGAATGTAATAGAAGTGGAACACGGAAAGGCAATAAACCAAAACTGTATATATTTCAAACTATTTTTATATCTCGCACGCCAAAAGGCCCTGGCGCAAAGAAAAGTTCCGCTTGAAATAATTTTCTTCTCCGTTTAATAAACACAGGGAACTTTTCAGAACAGCGTGAACGGTCTATCCAAAGACTAAAAAGCAAAATTGTCCCTTTCGATTGCTGATTATAGACCAAAGAGAGATATGCAACTGAAATAGGCCAATAATTACTAAGAACATTCCGAGAGAAAGTAGAGCAACAAAATATAAGTCGTAGGTTCAATAATAATATTTATTATCTGCTGTTATTTTAAGTTTTATGGCAGCGATGTTCTTTGAAAAGTCAAAAAATAAGTCGTCCAGAATCCATTTCACATAATTACATTTATTTCTCGGAATCAAAACATACGGTGTTAAAGCAATACATACAGATAATGGCAGTATAACCGTTAGAGCCCATGCTTTGCACAACTCAGGTTCAGCTCCGGAATAAGTGAAATTTGTAAGTTTGCTCTGTGTTTTTGCGTATTAGCACGACCAACAAAAAATGAGTCACGCTGCTGAATATGAAAGAATTTGGGGTTATGTGAGAACTTGAATATTCATTCTTGAATAAGTGTACATTTCAATATTCAGTCTTTATTATAATTGTACAGGACTACCTAGGAAAGGTTTATACGAGATGCCCCTTTACGGAGTAGTAAAGTCTGAGCATATACTCCCCTGTTATAACATCAGCATTGTAATAGGAATACATACTACAGATGTTGTTGATAATGTAATCAATGCTTAATTGAAAAATCCCTTTTATGTAGTGATTGCTGCCTTCCATTGCCCATCACTTCCATCCACTTCCTGAATTCCCAGTGTGCTTTGCATCTCTTTCCCTGCTGCTTGATGTAATGTAATCTCCATTTCTCAAGACTACATATCCCATTATGCATTGCTTCCAGCAAGCAATAATAATGTTACATTGTTCAGACGTTAAGTTGTAGTTCAGAAGGCAGACTCTGTAAGTTGTGTCATTACATTGTGAAATGGTGTCAGTGCATTGAGGAAGTACAGTACATCCTATGAGACATCTATAATAAGTTTACAAACTTCTAGATGGCTATGGTTATTAGGAGTGTGATAGAACGTATGGAAATTCAGTATAGAAATAAAGGTTTATTTTTATTTTTTGACCATAGATACCCTTTAACTTTTACTTAAGTCTGAAGCTTAGTGGCTTCCAAAGTCTGTCAGTTGCTTCCCTGTCAACTGCCTGACCACATTCTGACAACTCTAGCCTCTTAACTCCTCAGTACGTACAACAGTAGTGTCTTACAAAGCCCAAGAGTTTTTCTTTGAACACTTTATTAATAAGAATACAGTATTCTAATAATTGGAATGCTGGAAACTTACCTCGTGTTTGGTCCATTGACCTCCAAAAATATTTTTTTTTTGTATAATCCAACCTGCTGCCTGATTGACAACTGGTTTCCAAGAACCACCTGCACTCCTTACGGTCTACAACCTTACAATATTGGTGGTGCTCATGGTGATCACCCGGATGGCGCCGTGCAGAACTCAGGGTAATCTCAGTAGGTCAACGGCGCACACAAAGATAAGTTCTGATATCAATAGTTTGACTATGTCGCTCTGATGAAGGGTCCCTGTGAGGTCCCGAAAAGTTAGCTTCTAATGACATGATGTAACATTCTTCAATAAACATATCAAAGAGATATTGATATCGGAAACTTATCTTTGTGTATGCCGGTGACCTACTAAGATTATCCTAATTGACAGCTGGCTCTGCATCTCACGAGGCAGAGCCAGCTGTGCCTGCCTCCTCCCCATCCATCCCACCAGTCAACACTGGAGGAACGGAAAGCGGAGGGGTGAACCCTGCGGGGAGTGTTGACTGAGAGTGACCACTCTCTCAAGGGAGAAGATCGTGAACTGAGCGATCAGCGGTATGTGATCGCTCCCTTCTTGATCAATAGAGCGGATGTGTGAAAGATTCAGTGTCACAGGTCGGCTCTAACAATTGGGATGAGTGTATTTCACTCATCCCATAATTCTCCTTTAAAGCCCAACTGAAATGTCAGTTTCATTTAGCTAAAGAGAGTCCTGATGCATCAAAATCAAAGATGTTCAATGTCTAGGTCTGGGGTAGGCAAACTCCAGCTGTGGTGCAAATCCCATGATGCATTGCAAGACTCTGACAGCCACAGGCATAACTCCCAGAAGCAGATGCATGATGGCATTTGAAGTTTCACCACATGGAGGGATGGAGTTTGCTTACCCCTGGTCTAGGGGCTTGCACACATCTCATCATACTGAGCTGCACCACACAGGTTTTTGCACACTGTAGCATTTTGCAGCTTGTTGCGTTAGGCAGGCCATTCAAAATAACTGAGCTGCAATGCAACTTAGCAAACAGGAAAAAAAAGGTTTTGCTGCATTTTTTTTATAACACAGATCTCCAACCATGTAGTATAAGAACTGCTTGAATGGTTACAAATTGATTGGTAAGCCTTTTACGTTTTGAGAAATCTATTTAACATTTACCATAACTATGTAATATAAATGGCTTATATAACATAGCGGCAATCTCTTTAAGACTGTACAGTAAGACTGTAACCTGTGCCCAGCTTTATAATCTGTTTAATGAAAACATAAGATTACCTTTTTATCAGCCCATGATGCCTTCAAAACAGTCTGAGTTCTGAAAAACAGAAGCAGCTTGCTGTCCTCATCGCTGAGGTTAAAGGCCTTCTCAAGGATCTGCAGCACGTCTATCCTGGGCTTCACCGGCAAAGAATCATCACCGCAGAACGGCCGTAACCACTCCAAGAGGTCATCAGAGGAAACCAGCCTTTCCCTACAAATATAAGATGGGAAATGGGTTTTTAAAATGTACATACTGACAATTCAATATAAAACTTTGCAGTAAAGAGAATAGCTTCTATCTTCCAAATAGCATTGCAAACGCAGAGCCCTTAATTAGTAAAAGTCCCTCTTTTTAAAAAAATTACTGAAGTAATCAGCCCGGTACCCAAGGATTACATTCTAAGCTCTGAGTTGAAAGCTTGCACAGAATGCTCTGTGTATACAATCTATACATTGTATGACAGATGTTCCACTTCAGTGACTATAAGATTCTCTGGAGGAAACGAGAAAAAATTCTCCTCAGGTGGAAATCCATCCAGGCTGTAACAATGAAATGTTTGCCCCAAGGTGCATGCATCTTCTTTTACCTGATGGGTCACCTGATCATCTTTAAAGTTATGCAGTTCTGGAATCAGACAGGAGGCCAACACTGGTGACACTCCTATACACGTATTCTAAATAAAGGATGAGTCCACCCAAAACTGATGTGTTTTATGTGGCTATTATTTAATGGAATAAAACAACAGCTTCCTGTACTGCTTTTGGGATCCCCGAACAATTTACTTTCTCTAAAATCCAACAAGAGTATGACACCAAACCAATAATCTCAGTGATGAGGTGGACTAGGGTCTACAAAGGCAATATCTCCTCACCGGAATGCCAAAAAATCAATACAAACTAGTGAGGTTTCCAGCCCATTAGTAATATTCATCTCGTACTGAATCATCATTTTGCATTCTTTAAAGTAGAACTGTACTCAAATACAGTTACATATATATGCAGAGTAGCTAGTTTGTTATCTGTCACTATTTTTTTTTTTATTTCAGTGTGCCACATAAAAATATGTTCCAGACGGTTTTTAGTATGTAAGAGGAAATTAACTATGACTCAACCACCAAGCCTTTTGTATCTTTTTAAAACAAAAAACCATTAAACAAAATCAAATTCTTCGTAGAGGTAAACTCCCCCCCCCCCCCCATATTGGAAGGTAAAAACCTATCCTCAGCTTTGGGCAGCAGATACGTGAATTTGTAACCTCAAGGCACCGGTACTCCTGCAACCCATAATCAATATTATGCATGTATGAGTATAGTATAGGAGTGCTAGTGCCGTGCAATAGTTACATTTTTTTAAATGAACACATATATCTCAATTCAGGCACTCCCACTGCATGCCTCATTTCCAATTTCAGTAAGGGTCTTGGAAATAAAGGCAGATTTTGGGTATCTATATCTATCTAGAGTTCCTCAATTTGTATTTATTTTTTATTAAATCCTGCATCCTTGGTCCAGTTTAAACTATTAAAGTTTTCCTCGACTCAGCAAGTCTGCTGTTCCCATTGTAACTATAGATCACTTGATGCTGCATAGTGCTAGCAGCACATTGGCCATGTCCAAAACAGACAGACTGGGTATTAGACTTGCCTAGGTGCGCTCTGGGAGGACACATGGCAAACAAGAATGTTATTCAAATGCCATATTATCATAATTCGATTTAATCTTACAGGATGATACATTTACCTAGCCTGCAGACAGAACAGCCACAAAGTAATATCCCTATATTTAACATAATGTGACATATGGGGAAATAAAAGCACTCAAGCGGTAATAGATCTTCCAGTCATCATTAATTCATGATGCCCTTCCAACGAAACCAGGTTATTCTTACCCATTATATGGCCAGAATAGTGACCTTTCACAAAGACTAATGAGATTTGAATCTCGGCACCTATAAACCGCTCCATAATTCTTCTGATAATATTACACTAATCCACTAAATAGTAACACGATTGTCACTGTCACTGCATAATACATACCTCATGTTCCTTCGATCTGCAGGCACTGCTTTCTGCTGAATGAATGTAAAACACCCCCGCAGAAATATGAGACGTTGCAAGAGAACACACCGAATAACTGCAGACCCCAAACGCATCAAGTGGTTTTGCTACAAGCTAGGCCATTCCCCTTCACCAAACAACAGCTGAAGCATACCTACACTGAAAATATTATAACATGGAACTCTATTCTTACTTTTACATTTTTAAGAGAGCGCTCCAGAGATGGGACGAGGAATTTGGATGACAGCAGAGCCTCGACTGTAATGACAAGACTGATTGTGGGAGAGATCTTTGTGCTGGGGTCACAGACAACAGTGTAGACTGGTCACATCCATGACTGAGTGAACACCTTTGTGGTCAATATGTGAGCACTTCTCAAATGATGGCATGTGAAGCAGACATATGCCCATAAGTTAGATATGCCAAGTAAAAGTGATACCCCCATCAGAGGGAGGACCCTTAGAAAATTATTATATTTGATAAAGGCAAAGGGGGCAGCTGTCAGGGCTCCACCTTGACTTATTAGTTTGCAGCATTCTGGCTTGGCTGCCATTCCACCCACATGTGATTCCTCCTTTGTCTGAGCAGACTGTGTAACATTGCTCACTACTCCCAGGCTTCCTCTTATGGTCAGATAGGAGAGCATCATCTGAGAGAGCCAGATGGGCGTTTCCTGTCTCTGAGTGATGTCACCCGACTCACTATAAAAACCGCTCAGTCCAGTCTGACCTTGCCCTTGCATGGTTTTACCTGGTAGTGCATTCCTGTTGCTCTGTACATTCTGATTCCGTGCATGACCTGTTCCTGGCTGACTTTCTCCTCTGCTTCCTGCTCCTGGCTTGTTCCTGACGATGCTAATCTCCATGTTCCTGACCTGGCTTATACGACTACCCACTCCGGCTCCTGACCTTGGCTTGTTCCTGTTTATGATTTTTGCTTTTTTCTTTGGACACTTTTCTTAATAAAATATTTTTAATTAGCACCTTATGCCTGTCTGGTTTACATTGTGCTCTGACAACAGCAGAGTGGCTTTGTGGTTAGCACTCCTGATTTGCTAAGACACTGGGGGTCCCCGGTTTGAATCCCGGTCAGGGCACTATCTGCATGTTCTCCCTGTGCTTGTGTGGGTTTCCTCCGGGTACTCCGGTTTACAATCACACTCCAGAGACATGCTGGTAGGTTAATTGGCTCCTGTCTAAATCGGCAGGTAGGGACCTTAGGTTGTAAGATCCCCGAGGGCGGGACTGATGTAAATGGATAGTATGTAAAAGTGTAAAATAATCTGACAGTGATCTAAAAAATACCTTTAATAAAAAATAAAGCAGGTCACGTGTGGTGCTTGGTCTAAGGTGGGCCTTTTGGTTATAAAAGATTAAAAAGGCTGACAGGTGGTTCTAATTAAAGGACACAAATGATGAGATAAATCCATGGGCTGCCAATGCTCACCTCTGGAAATACTAGCTGCCTGTCTCTCATTCAAACACTCTGCTTTCAAAGCGTGGTGCAAATTAGATTAGCCTGGAACAAGGAAGCAGCAAGTAAATCCTCAACTGCTGATCTAAAATCTCCGTCCTGGTCAATGACTCAGTAAGTACTGAAGCCAGAGAAAGAGCCTGATGCTTAAAAATATACTAATGTCTTGATTGGTTTCCTTTCCTGGCAGGAAGAGGTCTCTGTGCACCAGTAGCATGGACTTGCAGTGTGTTGGGCAGTCATCTATGTTGATCAAGACTTTGATCTCTAGATGGAGACCCGGCTTTCAGAACAAACACACTCTTCAGTCGCAGATGCAAAGGACACCATCCTTCTTTAACATTTAAACAACTGTAAGATCACCCTCGTGTGGTTGAAGTATTTTAGGTCCCTTTTTCAATGTATACAACTTGAGGATTTCAACCAAGAAGAGCAGTCAGACAAGAAAACCCTGACACCCACACCTGGTACTAAACAAGATATTCAAAACACATCTTAGTTTTCTTATTACTGATCACCAATGTTGCAGCACTATAAGATATCCAAAAAAGAGACCTGAAAGACATCAGCTATGACCATCAGTAGAAAGCTAGGGCAGACCAGTCTCTTCTGGAGACCCAGCTTTCAGTACAGAGACACACCTCAGTCACAGATGCAAAGGACACCATCCTTCTGTAACATCTAAACCCTTGGTTCTCAACTGGTGGGTCGTGACCCAAAAGTGGGTCGCGACCTCATGTTCAGTGGGCCACCGCATGCCTTCCTCTTTTCTAGGGGAGAGGCTCCTCAGCCTCCCCCTGGTGCAGCACTGTCTGTTCTCACACCAAGCAGCCATTCAAAATATGCTGCCCGGTGCCGAGTGTCAGCTTAAGGTGGGCTGGGGGTATAGCTGCGAGGGAGCTCCATTCATACATACATTGCTTACAGCTCCCTCACGTGTCCTGTAGAGGTTCTTGGACCTGAGTGACATCACATTCTGGTTCCCGACACCTCTACAGGGCGCACAAGGGAGCTGTACCAGCAATGCACATATGTAGGGAGCTCTATCACAGCACATCAGCAACACATCAGCAACACAGACCCCAGGCTGAGGATCCACACCGGTTCTTGTAAGGTAGGGAGACCAGGTGGATCTTAAAAAAAGAAAAAAAATGAAAAAGTTTTTGGATTGTGTGTCTGGTTGTGTATGTATGGCAGTGTTTTTGAGGGCCCGTTCACACTGGTACAGTGCGCTAATCGCACAGTCCCGTACAATTAACTCACCATGCAATCGCACCTACAGCGCATTCTGGCGCTGGAGGTGCGTTGCATTGCTATTCATTTGACTGGCACCCCAAAACGCACCTCCCACCCACAGTTTGATTGCCCACACCGGAACGCATGGTACCGCAATGCCATGCGTTCCAGTGCAGTGCGACTTGGGTCACGACTTAATGACCAAGGACAAATGTGGGTCCTGAGGTTACACAGGTTGAGAACTACTGATCTAATGCGGGTTCCTAGCTTAGCAGCAGAAACACCTCAGTAGTCATGATATCTCTTACACACTATCACAACACGTTAGTAGTACTGGTCTATAAGTGCCCCTGTGAGCAGAGCAACCAGATGCAGAATGCAAATGACAGTATGTGGCCATTAGGTATACACACACCAGAACCATGGGTCTGCACTGTATAGGAAAT